CTATGTACTGGGGCTTTGGGGGAAAAATAAATAAAATAAAATCTTTAAAATAAAAAAATAAAAAAATAAAAATAAAAATAAAAATACTCAAATGGATAAATACATATATAATATCGGTATATATGTGTATTTATATAATGTGTATATATGCATATACATGTATATGCACTATAGATATATTCATTTGGGTATGTTTTTGTGTGTATAGATATATATTTGTGTATATATAGTATACATGTATATACACAAAAATATCATATACAGTGCTTTCTTTAAATTATTAACTTTTGAGGGTGGATATATTGCCTTGTGTATCTCTTGTATTTCCTTTAACTCCATAGTACTTAGTGGAGTAATTGTTATTCTTTCATTTTAGGTGACGTAAACATTGCAGCTCTTGTTGGAAATGAACAAGTTGGTGAAGGTGCAGATAACGGTGATCTCCCTTCCTATGTGTCTGCATTTATAGAGAAGGAAGTTGGAAATGACCTTACATCTTTAAAGAAACTTGATAAACTCATAGAACAGATGACAGAAAGTAAAATGCAGTTGGAAGAACAGGTAAATACTACAACTCATTGAAATGACATCAGTAGTATACTCACTATAATTAACATACTATAGACATAACCGTTATTATACAGGGAATTTTGAAGATATAGACTGACAAATAGTCTAATCATTTTAAACTGTTTAATACGTTTTAAGGGCCTACAGTGTGCTAGGTATTTTACAAGTTATATAAAAGACAAAGTTCCTGCTGATGTGATTTATGTCTTGAAAACATAATGATTGCTAACATTTTAAGTAGCTTTTTAGGGCCGGCCCCGTGGCTTAGCGGTTAAGTGCGCGTGCTCTGCTGCTGGCGGCCCGGGTTCGGATCCTGGGCGCGCACCGACGCACCGCTTCTCTGGCCATGCTGAGGCTGCGTCCCACATACAGCAACTAGAAGGATGTGCAACTATGACATACAACTATCTACTGGGGCTTTGTTGGGGGGGGATTAAAAAATTAAGTAGCTTTTTATACCATGACTTTTTTTAAATTGATGTCTTAATAGTTTATAACATTGTGAGATTCCAGTTGTACATTATTATTTGTCAGTCACCACATGAATGTGCCCCTTCACCCCTTGTGCCCACCCTCCAATCCCCTTCCCCCTGGTAACCACCAAACTTCTCTCTGTCCATGTGTTAGTTTATATTCCACATATGAGTAAAGTCATATCGTCTTTGTCTTTCTCTGTCTGGCTTATTTCACTTAACATAATACCCTCCAGGTCCATCCATGTTGTTGCAAATGAGACAACTTTGTCTTTTTTTATCGCTGAGTAGTATTCCATTGTATATATATATCACATCTTCTTTATCCAATCATCTGTCGATGGACACTTGGGTTGCTTCCACTTCTTGGCTATAGTGAATAATGCTGCAGTGAACATAGGAGTGCATAAGCCTCTTTGAATTGTTGATTTCTATACAATGACTTCTAAAGGGCTTTTGTAAGTACGTAATTTGACAGTATACAAAAATGTTGAAATGCCATCATTCAAAATTTTTTATATATGCACCCAGAGGGAGAAAACATGAAAATAAGTAGAACATTGTAATAATGGTTATTTCTGGGTGGTTCTTTAACAGGTAATGTGTTTTCTCCATATCTTTCTGTATTTTCAAGTTTTTTCTTTTTACAGTGAACATATTACTTAAAATAATTTTTTAAAAACCCAACGACTGTAATCTTAAAGAAATAAATGGGTCCCTGTATTTGTAACAGTGTGTTTGTCAAAGATAAAAGATTTGTATCTTGTAACTACTACATTGGGTTAGGTAAACTCTGCGTGGTTATGTTGGTGTGTTAGCCCCAGGTTGTCAGTTGTCTTAAGTTTTCTCATCCCCAGCACCTTTGGCCTCCACATCTTCCTGTCTTTCTACCACCTCTACTGCTAGACCCTAAATTTAGCCCAGCCCCATCCTCCTCTTCCACCCCTGTAGGCAAGTTGTTGTGGGCTCTCTTGGAGGAGATCACGCAGCTGAGTGGATGCATGCCAGCCCACAGGTGTGTCTTCAGCCCCACCTGACAGTCCTTCCATGGGAAGGTCGGCTCCTCTGCTACTTCCCTCAGCTGTTCTGCCAAATTCTCTCCAAGACACCTACCCAACCTGGCCATTCTCTCCTTTCCTTTTCCCAAACAGAAAAAATTGAGGCCATCTAGCGTGAACATATTAAACAGTCTACCCTATATTCCACAAACTTATTTGCAATCATTTCTATTTCTTAATTCAGCAGAGGATAAATCAAGGTAATCCTTATGCCCCAGATCCTACCTGCTGCTTCAGTGAGCTTGCTTCCGTCTTTTAGATTTTCATCCTCTGCTCCTCAGCCAGTTGTGAACCCTCAGCATGTGGACATACTCAGATCTTTTCCTTAAAAACTACACAAACAAAAAACCCTCCCCTCATCTTTTAGTAGGCGTTAGTCCCTTCCTTTTACTGTTAGGCTTCTTCAGAAAGTCATCTTACTTTGTATCTGTCTCCACTTATTAATTTGCTGTTTGCTGTTTGACCCAGTGTAATCAGGCTTGTTTTCATGATGACCATGGAAGCTTTGCTGAAGTCCCTAATTGAACCTTAAATTCAGCATGTCCAAAATTGTACTGATCCATCCCTTAAAATGCTTCTCTGTCTTGGAAAATGGCACCACCATCTGCCTGTCATTCAGGCTTGATACCTAGGAGCCTCCCTAGATTGCTCCTCATCATCCTTGCTCTGCCCCATCACCAAGACGTCTGAGTTCCGCCTCCTTAGTGTCTCTGGTGTCCACCCCCTTGTTCCCACCCCTGCCGTCCACCGCAGTTCAGGGCTGCGTTCTCTCTTGCATTTGATGGTAGTTTGCCCATCTTCTGTTTTTTTCATACTGTCACAGTAACTATCTTTCTTTTTTATTCCTTACGGAAATTTTATTATAAGTAAATAAGCAAATATATATAAAATATGGTTATACAGTTAAAATCTTTTATGTATAGCAAGCATATATATACTTAACTTGTTACAATTAATGTAATATAGTACTTGTTTCTCTGTCAATAGCTATAGATCTCTCTTTTTTAATGGTTTTATGGTATTCAAATATGGCTGTACCGTGATTTATTTAACCAGGACCTTACTGGTAGACATTTTTGCTGTCTCTAGTTTTTATTATTACAAATAATATGAGAATAAACATAATTGTTTAATCACATTACCTTTCTAGATCATAAATCTAACTGAACTAATCCCTTATGAAAAACTCTTAATGGCTTCCCATTGTCTGTTGGATAAAGCCCAGATTCTTCTAAGGCACAAGATGCTCCCTCTGATCTTGTTGGTCTCTACCTGTCCAGGCTCGCCAGGCTCGCCTCTTCTCTCTGCATTTCTTTGAACTGTATTCTTTGACCTACTTAGCTCCATGCTGTTCTCTTATCATGACTGAGCTGTTCCTTCTGCCTGGAATGCCCTTTCCTTTCAAAGTTCCCTGAGAAATTCCCACCCATCCTGCAAAGGGCTGGCACGGGCAATGCAAGCACAGTTGCCTTGCGACTCAAAACCTTGCTACTCAAAGTGTGGGGTCTTGTCAGAAATGCAGAATCTCAGTTTCTACTTCCAACTTCCTGAGTCCGAATTTGCATTGTGACCAGCCCTCCAGGTGATTTGTGTACACAGTCAGGTTTGGGAAGCACCACCTTAGTGCACCATGACACCTAGCATGTCTCTTTTAGTGCATCAGTTCCACTGTTGAAATTGTTTACATCGCTCTTCTCTACCAACTGAGCTTAAGGGCAGAGGCTGTGTCATATTTATCTGTCCATCCCTCACCCAGTGCCTGGTACAGAGTAAGTGTCTAATCAGTGTTGATTAACTTAAAATTCCTCTAAAATAGTCTTTGTGTTGCACTGATGCCTAATATTTGCATATGTTTTTCCATATGCTGTAAGAAAAATTCGTTTAATAAATACCATATCTAAAGACATTACCATCTTACCAAGTCAGTGGTTCTCAACCTGGGCTTCAGTTGGAATCACACGGGGAACTTTTGCAAAATACAGATAACCAGACTTCTAGAATCAGAGCTTCATTGGTATTTGAAGGAAAATAATTAGTAGATAAAGCATGTAAGTGTTCTGGCCAGACCTCCTGAGAGTGCTGAGCTTCATGAAGGCTGGAGGCCAGTGTGATAGGCCCCCCTCTACACATCTCCACCCACAGCATTTCATGTTTAGGTTTCGTTGGTACGGGATGCAGAAATCAAACCTTTCTTTTGAAGCTTTTAATTGACATTTTTCAGTTCTATTAGAACAAACATGTATTTTGAAGGTAATGAACTAATAAAAAAGGTTATGGAAATTTTATCTGATTGCTGCTAATTTTTGTTTTTGTTTTTTGGTATGGTTAGGTACTTACGATTTCATCAGAAATCCCTAAAAGAATTCAGAGTGCCTTAAAAAATGCAGAAGAATCAAAGCAATTCCTTAATCAGTTTCTGGAGCAAGAAACTCATCTCTCCAGTTCCATTAACAGTCATTTGCTGACCGCACAGCCCTGGATGGAAGATCTTGGGGCCATGATTAACCAAATTGAAGAAATTGAACGGCATCTTGCTTACCTTAAATGGATTTCACAAATTGAAGAACTAAGGTAAAATGGGCCCTTTGTTCTCATAATTATTATTTTCCTTTGAGGCTCTGTCTTAGAGAGTGCATGCATGCCATTAAATAATTGAGTTAATTAAAGATTATAATAATGTAATTTTACCAGTTGTTATGAAAATAGCATTATGATAATGATTCTTTTCCTTTATTGTGCATGAACATAAACTTTTCAGGGAGCTCAATTTGCATTTGAAAGAAAATAATCTCTTGGGGCCGGCGCCCGTGGCTTAGCGGTTAAGTGCGGGTGCTCCACTGCTGGCGGCCAGGTTCCGATCCTGGGCGCACACCTACGCACCGCTTCTCTGGCCATGCTGAGGCCGCGTCCCACATACAGCAACTAGAAGGATGTGCAGCTAAGACATACAACTATCTACTGGGGCTTTGGGGGGAAAAATTAAAATAAATAAATAAATAGAAAATAATCTCAGTAAAAATTTTAAGTCCTATAGTTGTATTGTGAACACATGATAAGAACTGTTGTTTATAATGCCAAGTTAATAAAACAACCCCTCGGTGTGGTAATAGTCCTCCTTACTTTTACTTTTTAGCGATGGTCATTTAATGAAATGGATTGCTTTCCTTATAATTTAAATTTTTTTCAGTGGGAATCATCTAATAAGAGCTACACAATATTCTGGGGCCATCCCCGTGGTGTAGTGGTTAAGTTTGGCACGTTCTGCTTCGGTGGCCTGGGTTTGTGGCTTTGGATCCTGGGCACGGACCTATATCACTCAGCAGCCATGCTGTGGTGGTGATGCACATATAGAGTAGAGGAAGACTGGCACAGATGTTAGCTTAGGGCTAATCTTTCTCAGCAAAAAGAAAAAGGGAAAAGAGCTACACAATATTCTTAAGTGAATAACAGAGTTTTGTTACTTGTGGGGAGGGAAAAAAAGAAGTACTTGTTTTTGAATTGAATACATATTACTGGTGGTTGATTTTGAGTGTCTGGTATTGCCTTTCAAACAAGCTAAATTAACATTTCTGCCTAGATTGGTGAATTATTTGGTTTCTTTCTTTCTTTTTTTTTTTCCGTGAGGAAGATCGGCCCTGTGCTAACATCTGCCAATCCTCCTCTTTTTGCTGAGGACGATTGGCCCTGGGCTAACATCCATGCCCATCTTCCTCCACTTTATATGGGACGCCGCCACAGCATGGCTTGCCAGGCAGTGCGTCTGTGCGCTCCTGGGATCCGAACCGGTGAACCCCGGGCCGCCGCAGCGGGGCACGCGCACTTAACCGCCCGCGCCACCGGGCTGGCCCCTTGGTTTCTTGATATAGTCCCCCAGCCCCTCCAAACTGTCCCGTCCTTGCTCTATTTTCACTACTCTTGCTTCAAAGCTGTCAGCAACCATTCATGTTGTCTGAGGACTTGAGGGAGAAAAGTCACCCTCGAGTCTTAATGTCCCATTATAAATATATCATAGTTACTATATTTTATGTTAGTTCTTCCAAAGAGTAATGCAGTATCGCTTTGTCCTGCGTATGTTTCCTGAGATTTTCAAGAATTTTACGTATCAGTACAGTATGAAATCTTTGTTTTGCATATATGAGTTTTAGGTTTACAGAAAATGCAATATGTCTAAGACTGTAGTGTTACTAGCTAACCCAGAAATTGACTTCAGCTTTTTAGAGCATCTCCTTCTTGTTTAGATTAATTATTTAATAAATCATTTGCAGGGGCCGGCTGGTGGCGCAAGCGGTTAAGTTTGCGTGCTCCACTGCGGCGGCCTGGGGTTCGCTGGTTCGGATCCCTGGCGCGCACTGACGCACTGCTTGGCAACCGGTGCTGTGGCGGCGTCCCATATAAAGTGGAGGAAGATGGGCATGGATGTTAGCCCAGGGCCAGTCTTCCTCAGCAAAAAAAGAGGAGGATTGGTAGACGTTAGCACAGGGCTGATCTCCTCACAATAAATAAATAAATAAATAGTTTGCAGTGAAGGAATTTTAAACCTTGCTTTATTTTACTTCATTTTTCCTTGCCCTTCTGAAAGAAAATACCAAGAAGGGGCAATATTAATAATCTTATATTGGGCCGGCCCCGTGGCTTAGCCGTTAAGTGTATGCGCTCCGCTGCTGGCGGCCCGGGTTCGGATCCCGGGTGCGCACCGAGGCACCGCTTCTCTGGCCGTGCTGAGGCCGCGTCCCACATACAGCAACTAGAAGGATGTGCAGCTATAACATACAACTATCTACTGGGGCTTTGGGGGGGAAAATAAATAAATAAAAAACAAACAAACAAAAATAATCTTATATTAAGTAAAATAAATTGTTTAAAAGCTTCACTCTTGTGGTAGCCAAAGGAATAGGTTAATTAAAATAGGACTATGGTTATGGATAGCCTTTTTCTGATGTCGGAGTTGTTTAAAAGAGAAACATGCCCAGGGAATCATATTAGAAATAGGAATCAAATTCATAATCAAGTAGAGAACAGTTATTTCTGTCTCTTTACTAACCTGTTCTTTCCCTTAGGTCTTTGTGATACATCTCTATTTCTAGCTTTCTTTTGGGCTCCTGAGATTTTCCTCATCTCCTAATTTCCCTCTAATGACCTGTTTCTTATTCTATAGCACTTTCTCTTTTTTTAAAAAAAAGTAGTTTTTTCTTCCTAGAACTAGCATCTTTATATTAACCCTGTTTGTTGAATAGCGCAGTATCATTACAGTACAGCAGAATCACTATGAATGAACGCTATTACCCTGGCGTTTCCTCTGCTCTGAATGTCATTCATGACTCCGTGTTGTGTGGAGATCTATATCATTGTATCCTAGAAAGCAGTACTCCCTTGTTATCTGGTTACTTGTACATTTTAAATTCTTTTGTAACATTTGTACGTTTCTTAAACATGGTAGTCTTCGTTTTAATGTAATGCAACACTTAGTTTGGATTTATATTTCTTTGAAGTGGGAATCAGTGAGGAGTTTTTAGATAATTTGCCGTAATGCACCGGGAAGCACCTCATACAGGAGCAGTAGCTTGTGCATGCTACCTTCAAGACAGGCGCACAGAGAAGAGCTACCTGTGTCTTAATGGCAGAAATGGTGGATTTGTTGACACTGAATGGGGGAAAAAGAGTGTTTTCAATTCTGATAATAGCTATAAAAGACAGAATCTTTTGCAAATCTTAATAAAAATGATTAGAAAAGGAGAAGAAGGAAAAGTGAGAGAATGAGAGTAGGAGATGACAGAAATAGAAGTATACAAACAGCTTTGTATTCTTGTTGAGACCTTGAGGCAGTGACAGGGAAACAAAAGCAGCTCGTGGCAGAAGGAGAGGAAAAAATCCTCACGCATGGTGCAGCTGGGCAGTGGGAGTACACATTCCTCTCCCTAAGGAGGGCGCTGTGCCCACTCGAGGAACGTAACTGAAGAACACAGCAAACCAGGGGCAAGAGTCCCGGCTCGTCAGTCATCTTCCAGCGCCGTGGCCAAGCACCCGGGGAGAATGCCAGTAGGCTGCCTAGAGGGCGGACACTTCAGATTTCCTGCAGGGGGTGACCCCTGAATTGAGATTAATTATTGAAAAGGTTACATTTTGTTCCTTATTCTTAGATGGCTTAAGATATGGAATGTGTTATTTTTATCAAAAGAAACATTTCATTTTTAAATAAAATGTTTTGCTTTATAGAGCCAGATATGCAAAATGGTAGCTCATGAGCTGAATTTGTCCTGAAGACTTGTTTTATTTGTCTTAAAGAATTTGATTAATTGGTTTGATTTTACATGAAAATCTTGATTTCTGGTTTCTCTGGAAAAATTTTAAGATTTGGCCACATTGGACTCACCTTCCAGCGTGGCAGCAATAGGTTGAAGTCTTAGGGTGGGGCTAGTCCCCTCCCACTTTGCTTTTTTTATTTATTCTCCCTGTCAGGCCTCTGTAGGCATTTGAGTTTGCTGCCCTTGCTGTAGAGCTTACCTTGAATTTTATCTGGAACTTGGCTAACAGTAAGTTGAAAGGGCTGGCCTCTGAGCTGCCACCTCCTTAAGTTTCCTGTAATCAAGTTGATCTGGGCAAAGTAAAGATGGAAGATGATCGTATTTGACCTTACCAGATGCTACCCACATTATTTCCTTGGATTAAGATACTAAAGACTTCTGTAAAAGGCAGATTTATCAGAAATGAGTGGTGCCTGAGGGAATGTGACACAGGACAAGTCTGTTCTGTTGGGAGGAGTGGGAAGGGAAAGGTGGAGGGAGGTGTCCTGAACATGGGCCGCTGTTCTTAGAAGGATGGTGAATTTGAGGACTCCAGGCTCCCAGAGACTTGGGTATCAGGTAAAAAAGCCACTTCCAAGTGGTGTTTCCTTCTTCCTTGGATGTTACTTTACATAAAACAGGAGGGAGAAGCAGTGCTTCTGCATTTGGAATTATTCTGAACTGTGTTTCAAGTTTGCTCTGCCTTGTTCGCAGCGATAACATTCAGCAATATCTGATGACCAATAATGTCCCAGAGGCAGCCTCTACTCTGGTGTCGATGGCAGAACTGGACATCAAGCTTCAGGAATCATCTTGTACTCATCTTCTTGGTTTCATGAGAGCCACTGTTAAATTCTGGCATAAAATTCTCAAGGACAAGCTTACAAGGTAAGGAATTTACCCATATTTCATGGTAATTGCTTTCAGATGGATATTTGGTGATCATTGTATTTTACTGAAATACATGTGTTACTTTTCTGTTACAGTGATTTTGAGGAAATTTTAGCACAGTTTCATTGGCCATTCGTTGCACCCTCTCAGTCTCAAACTGTTGGCTTAAGTCGACCAGCCAGTTCCCCTGAGATATACAGTAACCTGGAGACGCTGTTTTGTCAGCTTCTGAAACTACAAACCTCGTATCTTTGTTGGAGTTAAATCTTACTAAAATTTCTTTTTTCTAGAGTGGATTTATGGCAACAGAGTAAAACTTTTTGAAAGTGGCCAAGAAGCGAAATGGGAGTACTGGGTTTGGACTTGATCTGTATATGTCCATGGAGTGGTAGATTGTTCTCCTTCAAAGTGGATTGCATGTGGGTGGGAGGGCGTGGGTCAGTCTGAAATACATGACGGACCCAAGTTTGCATCACATATAGGTCTCTTGGGATGATAGAAAAAATGGGCAATTGGGAGGAAACTTTAGTGACTTAGTGTTAATTTAATAAAATGATTACTTGAATGTCTTTCCTTACTTACTACTATTCTTTATTTTAGGAAAGACTTACAGATTAATTCTAATAATATTTTCGTGTACTTTTTGCTGAAATCTTAAGTAAAAGTTGGATTACATATCTGTATCATAATTAACTTTACTTAGTGTCTTATATGTCTCTTGGAAAAAGGTGTGTGTATATATACTACATGCACACATATATGTATACATGCTTTTGATTCTTCTTCCTTGATTTGACTATGTCAGAGATGAATTACTTACTGAGCCAAAACAACTTCCAGAAAAGTACTCTCTTCCCGCATCCCCTTCTATCATCCTGCCCATCCAGATTATGCTGAGTCCCCTCCAGAAGAGGTTCCGGTATCACTTCAGAGGGAACCGGCAGACTAATGTCATAAGCAAGGTGTGCTTTGCCAACCCTTGTCCTTGGTTTTTATTAATAGCAGATGTTAAGGGTTTCTGTACTTTTGCTGGTTTAAGTTAAAATCTGATTCTGTTCACATTTCTGTTTTTTCTCTAAAGAGCTAAATTCCTGTTCTGTCACTGCCCTTTATGGATCTATTTTGGGATCTGTGTTGATATGTCATAGGAATCAGCTCACTTTTTAGCACGTCATTTGAGCAGTTTCTCGAGTTTCCCTTGGGTGTGCTGTAGCGTTTGCTGTGGCACTTTTTACAACTGGATCCACATGTGTTTCACTGTGCAAATTGCTCCTTCAGGTTTATAAATATCAGAAACAGAAGTGAAAGTCAAAAGGTAGTAGAACACTAGCTTTTGAATAGAGGTGTTGATGCTAAAACAATTTGTAGCTGTGCAAGGGAGAGTATAGGAATAAGTGATGGGAATGGCTTTGAGGAAATTATCACCAACATTTATTTGAGGGACTATGCCATCTATATTGAGCACATTGTTGAGATTTTTCTTTAATTTGACCTGAAAAACAATCATAGGCCTTTGTTTTCAATGAAATTTGACTGAATTTGTTCAGAATTGTAACCTTGTTTGTTGCTAGTGCGCGGATCCCACCTTGTTGGTATCCTTGAGTTTTGCTACATCTAATGCAGTGCAAGTAGCAGAGGGGTTCAGTGTTTTGAATTAAGTGTTATTAAATGCCAGATTACACCAGGCATTGTATATATTGTATATACATGAGTTTATATAGAATTTTAAAGGAATCAAGGGATGGGCAGTTATGTTTGCATAAGAGGGAGCAGAGTGGCAATGGATTTCTGGTTCTTAAATTCAGCTTGTTCTTTTGTACTTTTTGGGTCTCCTCCTTTTTTGGATGAGGTGTTGGTGGACAGAAGAGTAGAACCAGTTAGTACGTAGTAAGTGAAACAAAGCAATAAACCTAAAGCTGTAGAGAGGCAGTAATAATTTAAGGTAAGAAGATTGTGAATCACGTTGGCTGCTTTTTAAAGTGTGGTTCCACTGGTCCTGGTACTCTGTCATCAAACGTTAACTGTGTAGCCCCTGAGATTAGAGACTGCCCCTTATTCATTTTTGTATTCCCAGCATCTAGCACACAACAGGGATTTACCATTTAGTGAATGTTTTTTTTTTTTTTTTGCTGAAGAAGGTTTGCCTTGAGCTAACATCTGTGCCAGTCTTCCTCTATTTTGTATATGGGTCGCTGCCACAGCATGGCCACCAATGAGTGGTGTAGGTCTGCACCTGGGAACTGAGCCCAGGCCGCTGAAGCAGAGCATGCCGAACTTAACCACAAGGTCACAGGGCTGGCTCCAACCATTCAGTAAATGTTTTTGAATCCCTGTCCAACAAAACTTTGAAGGTTTGTAGAATCATCTCTAGGGATGATTTAAAAAGCCACATACTTACATTTCCTTTTCTATAATTATACCTGTTTTAAGGCATTTTTTGTAATGTAGACAAGCCAAATTTTTTTCTTAATTTTTACCTTTTGAAAAGAAAAAGCAGAAGAAAATAATGTATAAAAATTATTTTGGGCTTGGCCCCGTGGCCTAGTGGTTAAGTTCAGTGCAGCCTGGATTCAGTTCCCGGGGCAGACCTACACCACTTGTTGGCGGCCATGCTGTGGCGGCGACCCACATACAAAACAGAGGAAGATTGGCACAGATGTTAGCTTAGGGCAAATCTTCCTCAGGAAAAAAAAAAAATTTGGAATGTTATTTCAAAAGAAACAATTTAAAGGCCATCAGTTCTTTGTAATACTACTCATCATTTTACATATTTCTAAAGTGCTAGGTTTTAAATGTATATGGCACTGTATATTTATGAGTTTACTGATTTAAGCCACATTATTGGAATTTGTTGGGAGTATATTGGGAAACATTTGATTATTAAGCCTTACATGAGTTTTAAGTTCAGAGTAGGAATTGTGCTCTTAGGTATAGGAATTTTCAGCTAAGTTTTGTAAGTGCTGTCTGTATATGATTAAATAGAGCCATTTAATTGTAACTTCCTAGTTGGAATGACTTAAGAATTCAAACTATTTTACCTTCTTTCTTAGCCTGAATGGTACTTGGCTCAGGTCCTTATGTGGATTGGGAACCACACTCAGTTTCTGGATGAGAAGATTCAGCCAATTTTAGACAAAGTAGGCTCTTCGGTCAATGCAAGGGTAAGAGACTCAGTCCTGCGCATTCCAGTTAGAGTTGTGTGTGTCCATGAATAACTTGTCATTTACATTACCTTATGCTTATGTATTTCTTGTAGCTTGAATTTTCTCGAGGCCTTATGATGCTGGTTCTTGAGAAGTTAGCTGCTGATATTCCTTGTCTCCTCTATGATGACAATCTCTTCTGTCATTTGGTGGATGAGGTGCTTTTGTTTGAAAGGGAGCTACACAGTGTTCACGGCTATCCTGGCACTTTTGCTAATTGTATGCATATTCTGTCAGAGGAAACCTGTTTTCAGAGATGGTTGACTGTGGAGAGAAAATGTAAGTGCTCATGTGGCCGTGGGTGGGGAGAGATGTCTCTTTTTGTGTGTATTAATTTTTGGTGTTTTTCTCCTCCAGTTCTGGGTAGAAGCTAGAGCCATCTAAACTTTTCTTGGTCAGGGTTTACCAAATTGCCTTCAGAGGTCATCTTATTTTCTTTTCTTCCCATCAAACTTCAGTTTTTCCTGGAATTGCACTCTACGTGTTTCTAGAGTGGAATATTCAAGCCGGTAGAGTATGTAGTTAACTGTTCTGTGGATTTTACCTACAGTATTTCTGCTCTTGGTAGAATCATTTTGGATGTAGTTATCTAGTCAGTATAACTCTTGTCAAGATTTTGGGTAGGGGTGGCAGGGAGAAGTAAAGCATCTTGTTTAACTCTAAAATAGAGCATGTTAAATATAGTGCAACTAGAAGGAGCTTGTGGATTTGTTTATTTTTTATAGAAAAGTCATCATTCCTAAAAAATTGTGCATTGAAAAATTAGGAATGACGTAACTACTTAATTGACATGATCCTTTTTTCTGCATATCAGTTGCTCTTCAAAAAATGGACTCAATGCTTTCATCAGAAGCTGCCTGGATATCCCAATATAAGGATATCACTGATGTGGATGAGATGAAAGTTCCAGACTGTGCAGAAACTTTTATGATGCTACTCTTGGTTATAACTGGTAAGTATAAGTTTTTTAAGATATAACTTTGTTTTAAAAGTACTGACTCTTCACGTGGTACTTTTTCAGGTAGTTCAACAAAATTAATATTATATAGTGGTTATTATAATATCTTTAAATTCAGTTTCTATTTTGGCAGAACTCTAGCACAGTATTCTAGCTTTCGGATTTTTAAAAATTTAAGTAAGGTCTTAAATATTGTGATACATGAGGGGAAAATTCCTAAATTGTTACATAAAAGCAATTAAATAAGAATTTAATTTTATTATATGAATCTTCTTGCCATTCACCTAACGTGTCTTCAGTAAATGGTGATTGACCTAAGTTTTTTTTTTTTATTTATTTTTATTTTTTTATTTATTTATTTTTCCCCCCAAAGCCCCAGTAGATAGTTGTATGTCATAGCTGCACATCCTTCTAGTTGCTGTATGTGGGACACGGCCTCAGCATGGCCGGAGAAGCGGTGCGTTGGTGCGCGCCCAGGATCAAACCCGGGCTGCCGGCAGCGGAGCGCACGCGCTTAACCGCTAAGCCACGGGACTGGCCCAACCTAAGTTTTAAATATTTTCTTCACCTTGATATATGAAAGATTGCAGAAGAGTAAAATAATAAAGTAACTTTAAGGATTGGAGTACTAATAGGAACTCTTCTTATAGTGTAAGAATGTTCTGGCCGCGGGGTGCCTAGCAGCCCCTAGCCCTGGTTGGTCTGTAGCTGTCCACATTGCCCCATGGCAGGCCTGCTGCTTCTCCAGGTGCCACTGAACCCTCATTGCCACTGTCCTCCTCTGTCTTGTCCATTTCTTGGGCCTGAAGAAGTGTCATTCTAGCCTAGTCAGTAAATAATTCCATATTCTTAACTGTAAGAAAAATATGAAAAACACTGAAACACAAAAAGTATGTAACCTATAACTCTGTCATGGACAGTACCAAAAACCTTCATGTGTCACCTTTCTCCACAGACAGGTATAAAAATCTTCCTCCAGCTTCCCGAAAGCTGCAGTTCCTGGAGTTACAGAAGGACTTAGTAGATGATTTTAGGATACGATTAACTCAGGTGATGAAGGAAGAGACCAGAGCTTCCCTTGGCTTTCGATACTGTGCAATTCTTAATGCCGTGAACTATATCTCAACAGTACTAGCTGATTGGGCTGACAACGTTGTAAGTAAACGTGCTTTTATAGTAAATAATATATTAGTAGTTTGAATAATTTTACCTTTGGAATTTTGAATCTATAGCAAGCAAAAATATACATTAGGCAGAATAACAATTAGGCCAAACTTAGGAGTTGTGATTAAAGTACATATTTTTCTCAATCAAGTCTCAATGGTTAAATAATCCTAAATATTTTAATCATTGGAAAAGAAAGCCAACCTTTTTCATGAAGTAGTTATTTATAGAATGAACCTTTTTCCTCTTTAGACTTTATAGTTGGGAAATATTCATGTAGGCTAATTGCTATCTCAGAAAAAGCTCAGATTGAATAATGGTGTCAAAATCAATAAAATTCAGGACTTTAAGGGAAATAAAATAGAAACACTTGATACCTCTTGAATGCCTTCAAAACATGACAAATTATAAAGAATCACAAAAATAGAAACTTTTTTAACATTTATTTTACATTAAAAAATTATTTGTTTTGTTTATTTTCAAATGTATACAAGAGTAAATAGAGTAGTAAAATGAACTCCCATGTGCCTGTCACCCAGCTTCTCATACCAACTTTGTTTCGTTTGAACCTCACTTTAAACCTCTTCTCCACTCCCAGGCTTGATTATTTTGAAGAAGATCTCAAATATCATATTTCATGGTAACTATTTCAAAATGTGGCTCTAAAAGATAAGAACTTCTTTTTAAAAAAACATAACCACAATACCATTATCACATCCAAAAAAATTAATATTTTATATTTGGAGGTGTATTTTAAATAAATCTAAAATTCAAAACCTTAGTTCCAGTTAACAAGTAAGGCCTTTTACCTCCAAGAATTGTACTTATCCTTCCTCTCTCCATGCAGATTCCACGTGTTGGAATTTGAACAGATTTGTGCGTGGACAGATTTGACTTGCCTAAATATAATAATTAAGTAGTAATTTATTTTTATTCTTGTTATTAATCCAAGGAATATATTGGCTATCAGAGCTTCTGGTAACCAGGTTTTCTAAAGTGTACTTCCAGCCAAAAGTGAAGAACCTTAATTAGCCTTTATAGCCTTAAGATAAGTAGATTACTTCCTTTAGATGTAGATCACATTAAAGTGATGTTGGGGCCTCCACGACCTCCTCCTTGGCGGGTGCCCTCGGTTAGGGATCACTGTTCTGAGATCATTAGCAGCTGAGACAGAGTCAGCCTGGGTTTTCACCAGTGTGTCCCATGAAGTAGGTTTCATGACAGAAAGTATTAACAGACCATAAAATAGTGAAATATGCATTTAACAGTGAAAAAACTATACTGAGGATAATGAATATGAAGATACATTATAAATGTAAAGTATTATATAATTGTGTCATGAAAACTGACAGGAAAGTTAAACAACAAAACAATAATAATTTTAACTAAAGATTTAAAAATACCACTTTTAAAATGTGATAGATAAGGTGGAATTGAAAAATTAGAGTTAAATAATTAGAAAGATTGATTATCTGCACATTGCTGATAAATTCACAGTATACTAAGGGAAACATAATTTTTGAGTGTGTCCAGATGAGGCACAAACATGGACAAGGTAAATTAATTTAAAATTTCTGTACATTGTCAAATCTTAATGCAATAAAATAAAAAATAAAAGCAGAAATGAAATATAATCAAACACAGACATTTTAAAATATTTAATGCCCCAGGGCCGGCCTGGTGGCGTAGTAGTTAAGTTTGCAAGGTCTGCTTCGTCAGCCCGGGGTTCAGATGCCAGGGCGCAGACCTGTACACCGCTTATCAAGCCATGCTGTGACGGCGTCCCATATAAAGTAGAGGAAGATGGGCATGGATGTTAGCCCAGGGCCAATCTTCCTCAGCAAAAAGAGGAGGATTGGCAATGGATTTTAGCTCAGGGCTAATCTTCCTTACACACACAAAAAAGAATTAAAAAAAAAAAAATTTTAATGCCTGGATTAGGGAGCAGGTCCAGAAATCACGACAAGAATGTATTTTAAATTATGAATTTATGACAGCTGTGGTATACTGCTAATGTATTATATAATTCATTCTGTTCTATATATAAAAAAATTATGGTATACTGCTAAAGCATTATATAGAAGAAAATATATTCCTTTACTGTGAAAGGAAAAACAAAACAGTTTTTATCTTAAATACAGGGTCATAAGCCAAAATAAATATACTAATAACAGATATAAACAAGATAAAAATCTGAGAAACACAATCATAGTTTATTCTAATCTGCACTCTTTGGCTATGACTTAGTACTTATTTAAAGCCTTTTTTCTACAAAAATGTTAACTGAAATCTTTGTGCATAATGTCATTCTGCTGAGCAAAGAAAATAAGACAAAATAATTATTTCAAAATGAATATAATATAGAGTGTAATGATCAAGCATTTATCAAGTCCCCTAATCAGAATACATTCATTCACTGTGTACTTTTATATGTCATGCTCCTAATTTTAGTAAGTACTTGATTCACTCAGCCCCCACACTGCTCCACTCTCTGCTAAGCTTCTTCAATTGTATGAAACAAAGTGTCATTCTTGATTCTTGTGCCAAATGATCTAATAAAAAACTCATTCAGGGCCAGATTTTTAGCTTCAGCAAAATATTTGTAGAACATCATTAACTACTTTACTCAGTGCTGTAGTCTGTTAACAAAGATGAATTGGCCATTGTCCCTATCCTGAGAAAATTTTTAATCTGATGCTGAATTAACTGGATCCTTCTGTCAACAGAGAAATACCAAATTTTAGAGTCTTCAAATCATGAACGAATTCTGTATCCTAGTATGTTGTTATGACAGAAATTCTGTTTAACATCAAAAGTCCTTTAATCATCTTCCTAGTCCTTCAGCCTATGAATGCTTTATATAAAAATCATTAAAACTCTCATATTACATAGTTAGAAAAAGGAAGAGTGGACAGAGCTCACCTTTCATTCATTTAGATTAGGAATTTGTGTAACTGAAGGGATTAGGCGTGGCTGGTTTAAAGTTGTTCATTTCTGGCTTCATTCTCAGGCAAGTTCAGGTACGTGTGGCCATAGGTGGCTCTAGGCCCACAGGATCCATCAGCAGTCTGAAAAGGACAGTGCCTCTTTCCTGATAGTTTCACCAGAAATGCCAAGGTGGCCTCTCACATGTCCATCCCTGAACAACTACTCGTGTGGCCATAACCAGTTCTCTATGAATGGATACTTAGGTTGTTTTTAATCTTTTGCTAATTATCCACAGCAGTGTTTTTCTGTAGGGCAGAAAGAATAGTACCAATTCTACCTAAAATACACTGTAAAAATGACATTTCAATTCTCTAACTCCTATATCTGCTAGATTTACTACAACTCTCAATCTGTGTCTAGGAAGAATGAGTACTTGAAGTATGGTAGCCATCAGGGAAATGCAAACCAAAACCATAGTGGTATACCACTTCATACAAACTAGGATGGCTGTAACAAGAAAGACATAATAATTATTAGCAAGGATATGGAGAAATTTGAATCCTCACACGTGGCTAGTGGGAATGCAAGATGGTGCAGTTGCTGTGGAAAATAGTTTAGCAGTTCCTCAAACAGTTAAACATAGAATTACTATATGGTCCAGCAATTCCACTCTTGGGTATATCCCTAAGAGAAATGAAAACATACGTCCACACAAAAACTTGTACATAGCAGCATTATTCATAACAGAGAAAAAGTGGAAACAACCCAAATGTCTATCAGCTAGTGAATGGATAAATAAAATGTATATCCATATAATGAAATATTATTGGGCAATAAAAAGAATGAAGTACTGATACATGTTACAACATAGATGAACCTTGAAAACATTATACTAAGTGAAAGGAGCTAGTCACAAAGAATCACAAATTGTATGATTCCATTTATATGAAATATCCAGAATAGGCAAATCCATAGAGATGGAAAATAGATTAGTGGTTGCCTTAGGCTGGGGGGCATGGGGAGGGGATGAGGAGATGATGGCTAAGAGTGCAGGGTTTCTTTCTGGGGTAATGAAAACATTCTAAAATTGACCAGTGATTGATGCACAACTCTGAATGTACTAAAAGCCTTTAACTGAGTGAACTTATGTCTACTTTACTTGAGTGAATTGTATGGTATATGAGTTATATTTCAAGCTGTTGAAAAAAAGTATCTTAATAAACGTGTTAACATATTTTTGCTTTCAGTTCTTTCTGCAACTTCAGCAGGCGGCACTGGAGGTCTTTGCAGAGAATAACACTCTCAGTAAATTGCAGCTGGGACAGCTAGCCTCCATGGAGAGCTCTGTCTTTGATGACATGATTAACCTGTTAGAGCGTTTAAAGCATGACATGTTGACCCGTCAAGTAGACCATGTTTTTCGAGAGGTTAAAGATGCTGCCAAATTGTATAAAAAAGAAAGGTAAGTCCTCTGTATTTTCTTGTAAGTCAGCTCTCAACTCCACTTTGGTAAAAGTTAAAAGATGCTACCTGCTGTCAGATTTCCAAGGTGTCGAGGTAGCACAGAGTTCGGCCTTTTTTTTTTTTTTTAACTGAGGAAGATTCACCCTGAGCTAACATCTGTGCCAATCTTCCTCTATTTGTACGTGGGTCACCAGCACAGCATGGTTGACAAGTGGTATAGTTCCGCGCCTGGGATGCGAACTGTGAGCCTGGGCTGCCGAAGCGGAGCACGCCGAACTTAACCACTATGCCACGGGGCCGGCCCCGGAGTTTGGCCTTTTGCGGTCCAAACTTTTAACTGTTTTTGTTGGAACTCTTTCTAAAATATATTCAGACATTCTTCATGAGAATAAACTGATCATAATTTAACCTTCAGATGTGTCTGTAAATGCAGAGAGCTGCTGTATGATGTGGGGTTGAATGGCCTAGCCTGTCACCCATTTACCAAGTAAGGTGCTCCTGTAGGACTCCGGGCATGCCTGCATTGTACAGTCTGTTCCACTGCCATGACCCCTGTGGCTGTCTCCGTGACCTCCACCGGACTGGGAGCTCCTTCAGAGCAGATGGTGTCTATCCTAGCACAGTCTCTGTCACACGGAGTACTTATAACCAGTTTGGAAGTATTAGTCCCTGTTTTGCTGAAAATTAGAGCCTAAAATTAGCTGATGTCTTAAATGCTAATACAGTTTACATTTTAACTGTTTTCCAATTATTTCAGTGAGTTATATTAAAATTTTGAGACAAAAAATATTTAATCTATCATCCTCATTAAATATTTAATTGAGAGCTAAAGTATAGATATGGTTATATTTATTTTCTGAGAGAGCTTTTAATGTTGAGCTGTACATTGTTTCTTATTCAAATGCCCCAGGACAGTGCACTTCCCCAAATTGAAAATGAGTTGTTAAATCTTTAAAAATACAAAGTGGCGCAAAATTTTCTAGTAAAAATTCCTGTGCTCCAGGCAGTGCTGTTTTTGTTCTGTTAGGTGGTTGTCCTTGCCGGCTCAGTCCGAGCAGGCAGTGATGTCCCTGTCCAGCTCCGCTTGCCCGTGGCTGCTCACCTTACGAGACCGTTTACTTCAGCTGGAGCAGCAGCTCTGCTTCTCCTTATTTAAGATTTTCTGGCAAATGCTTGTGGAGAAGCTGGATATTTACATCTACCAAGAAGTAAGTAAGAATAGATCGTATCTATGGCTGTGATGATCAAGGCAACTGTGACATGAACTCTCTGTTGTTTCAGATAATTCTTGCTAATCACTTCAATGAAGGCGGGGCTGCTCAGCTGCAGTTTGACATGACTCGGAATCTCTTCCCTTTGTTCTCTCACTATTGCAAGAGACCGGAAAATTATTTTAAACAGTAAGCTCCATATTTAACAATTAATATTGATGTAACAAATTGTTAGAGGAAGTTGATTCCTTTTTCAACAACTTTAGGTTTCCAGTGATGCTTGGTGGAATAAATATAGCATCAATTAAAATTTTAAAACATTCACTGTGTACAAAAATAGTATAAAATGTGACCCATGGCCCCCAAAATTTTACCAGAACTGGATATAAATTATATGTTGGGCTTTGTTTTCTAGCATTTGTTTTAATGATCCTATTTGCTTATTACTGGGGAGATAAATAGAAAATGAAAGTGTAGTTCTGCCAGATTCAATAAATATAAGAAATTAAAAATATGTTTAGTACCTAATAGGCCAGGACTGAAGAAAATTAATTAAACATTTAATATTAGTTTTGGTTCTAATCGTAACTATAAATGTATATAAGAAAAATTCTTAGAAGTATTTTTAGAAATTGTTGATTTAAAACAAATTATTTGGGGAGCTTCTGAGATTATAAAGTATTCTTTTTAAAGTTATTATAAAATGAAAGATTATTTTTGCTCGTTTCAGTAAGATATCTATTTCGGTTTTTTTGATTTAGTGTTCTCCCTTTCTGCTGCTTTCATTTTATCCCTCAATATTCTCTTTTCTCATATCCTAATCTACCTCAAGTCTTAGCTACATTGAATAGACAGTTAGAATCAAGTATTATATTTTGAGAAGTAATGGATACATATTGAAAACAATGATCCTATTACGTGATAGTAATCTAATGAAATATAAACTCTTTACACATACATAGTCCTAGCATGTTAAAATAGCCAAATAATAAATCCACAAATAGTTTACATATATATATATATATAATTTTATATATAGAGAGAATATGGACTAGCAGTGCAGGGAAGCTGTTTAGTTTCTCCAAATGAAATTGTTATAGAATAATATGGATGATAAAGATAATGGAGATCTCAGTTCCCTCTTGCTTCTTTTTTTTTTAACAGTGTAAAAGAAGCCTGTATTGTTTTGAATTTGAACATTGGTTCCGCCCTGCTTCTGAAAGACGTCCTGCAGTCAGCCTCGGTGCAGCCTCCTGCCACAGCCGCGTTAAATGAAGTTGGAATTTACAAACTGGCTCAACAAGATGTTGAGATTCTACTTAATTTGAGGACAAACTGGCCTAACACTGGAAAATAATGCATCTCTTTTGTTTTTAACAAAGAGGAAGCCAATTGGATTTCAAGTTATATGATGAAGTTCTGAGTTAATGAAACTGGACAACTGAAAACTTCATAGAATCATTTATTACGTGGACTTATGGTGTTATTAAAATGATGACCATATTTCCTGAGTCCTCTTGTTCCTAAGAAAACAAAAACAGAAAATTCAGAAGCCATGAAGACTCAGAGTAATTCCATTTACAAATATAAATGCTGAATGTCTGTTGAATAAAATACAAGACTAGAGATAATAAATTATAACCAATGTACATTTGTAAGTGAAGTTCCTATATCTAGTTTGGAAATTAAATAGGATTGCTCTCATTTTCCACAAATATCCTTCCATTTAAAACACTTCCAAGTTTCGGGCTGGCCCCGTGGCTTAGCAGTTAAGTGCGCGCGCTCCACTGCTGGCAGCCCGGGTTCGGATCCTGGGCGCGCACTGACGCACCGCTTCTCCGGCCATGCTGAGGTCGCGTCCCACATACAGCAACTAGAAGGATGTGCAGCTATGACATACAACTATCTACTGGGGCTTTGGGGGGAAAATAAATAAAATAAAATCTTTAAAACACTTCCAAGTTCCATTCCATATGACAGTGAGCAGCCTTTGTTTTTGGATGAAACATTTTAGGCAGAGCACTGTGCTTCAGTCTTTTTCCGAGGTAGAGAATGTAATTAAACATTTTTTGGTTAATATTTATGTAACTGATAATGAGATGGGAATCTTAAACTTTCTTTTTTCTTCTAACTTTTCCTTGGCCTTGGACTGTGTTAAATAATGATTCCTTGATTAATAAATCCTCAGAGAATAAAACTTTTAAACAAATTGAGCTAGATTAGCTAGAGGCTTTTTACAACTATCAAATTTTATTCCAATGATTTTTTTCTGATTTGGCATTTAGTTAGTACTTTTCATGCTGTAATATCTTAAATCTAAAATTGTCAGGCTGGCATGCAACATACACTATTGATAAACATTTACTTTGTGATAAATAATATTGAGGAAATATTTTGAGAGAAATTCTATTACTCTATATTTTATACAGAGATTTTCCAACTAGTGTATTGAGCTCAAAGCTTTTCTGTTCTCTTAGCAGATTGGGGCTATTCTACCTCATTCTTTGAGAATTGCTGGGGTTTCCCATTGAGAAAAGAATGAAGCGGGCCGGCCCCGTGGCTTAGCAGTTAAGTGCGTGCGCTCCGCTGCTGGCGGCCTGGGTTCGGATCCCGGGCGCACACCGACGCACCGCTTCTCTGGCCATGCTGAGGCCGCGTCCCACATACAGCAACTAGAAGGCTGTGCAACTATGACATACAACTATCTACTGGGGCTTTGGGGGAAAAAAATAAATAAATAAAAAAATATTAAAAAAAAAAGAAAAGAATGAAGCTGGCTCTGGGGCTTCCTAACTCCAGGATCTTCCTCCTCCCTCTCTTCCCCTCCCCCTCCCTTCCCCCCCCTCCCCAAGGCTTCACTGTCAGCCCTCCCTGTCTTCACTTTCTAGTCTGCTGGAAGTGAGAGAGAATGAAATGTTTCTATCAAAAGGTTCAGGAACCTCTGTTTTAAAATGTGTTAATTGTACTTCAAAATCATGCCACGTTATTTAAATATTAGTCATTTAAAAATAAACTTACACTTCATGCCTGAATTTATCCAAAGTTATTCCATGCCCATCATCTTTTAAAACTTCATCTGCAGTACACAGACCCAGGGTTTTTAGGGCTGTAAAAGGCAGAGTGAGAAGAATGGAAAGTTTACAAAGTGAGAATTATTTTCAGCTAGAGAAAGTTAGGGAATGACCACGAACTGTGACCTCAATTGGTAGAAGATACTGACCTTCTTTGTACTGCACAAATGATATGGTGCCTTTACTGGAGGAGTCTATCATCTCAAACATAGCCACGATGTTAGAGTGATCCATGAAGAAAGGAAAAGCCACACCTGTTATTTTGGCAATTCTCAGTTTTTCCAATATAGATATTAAATACTCTCTTGGTTTGTCTGTAAAAAAATAGTTCCAATTCTTTCTGATATGAAATTAAACTATGTCACAAATGGAAACAGTCACTTAACAATTATTAAATACCTATGTTCAAGGTACTGTAATAGGCACTGGGGATATAGGCCTTGCAGGAAAAGTAAGACATTGAACAATTAATTACATACACAAGTGCTCTACCCCAGATGTTTGAATAAAAAGTCCAGAGATTGAACCTGGGCATTTTTTTTTTTTTT